GGAGAAGAGATGAATTCATCCGTTATTATCGCGTAATTGAATATAAAGAATCCGTCTAGAACTTGAACTCGGATCTCCGATTAAGCAATTCCGTGCGATTATCCCAACTAACAGTACCTGGTATTCCTAAACGGTAACCCATTCAGGTACTGACCGTTGCTTAACTTCGATGATCGCACAAGAACCAGTGTTTCAACGTGATATGGCCGTAGACCAAAAATAAATGAATTAAATTGATAAACATATGGTATAAAAATGACTAAATAAATCTATGCAAATATATTGATCTTAAGCAGCCAAAACGAAAACAAAAAGACTACCTGAACACAGCGACAACAAAAGTGCTCAATAGTTCATACCAAAAATTTAAAACCAGAAAAGAGCAGACACACATTCCAAGGCAAAATAGATACTCAGCTTCACCGTGATAACCTATCCATGCCCAAAGTGACCTTCAGACGATTTGAAGCGTCCAAGGATCTCTTTGCGAGTGAAATTATTAGTCACAATAAAGTCTTGTGTCTCTTCGGTCTTCGAATGCCAACACACATACACACACCCACAACACACATTGTCCAACTCGTGTAACACCAAATTTGTCCAATTGTGCTTTGAACTGTTGCATCTTAGAAATGATTAAAGATATCTTACTTGAATTCTCCAAATTTGTAGAATATTATTGGACTCTAGTTTGAGCAATAAGAATGTATAATTACTCTCCATGCTTAACAGAAGAATTGTGATGAAAATCACATGTTCAGCATTAATTATATATATATATATATATATATATATATATATATATATATATATATATATATATATATATATATCATTTGGGCAGGTAAATGGAGATCAACGTGTTTTAGTGGACTCAGCAGTTTTCAATCTGCTTGTCTAAATAGTCTTCAGGAAGCGAGAGCAAGATCTAAAATGTAATATATTATATAATATAATATATTAATGTTCCAACGATTGTCTCCTGATGAGATGTTGGTTGAAAGGGTCTTAGAGACTAATAAAATTAAAATCAATAAATTCCTAGTTTTTTGTAAACATATGTATATATATATATATATATATATATATATATATATATATTATTCCAAAATCATTTTGCAACTTATTCAAGATCACCCCCGCCCTCTCTAACCTTCTAACTTTCTGTCTTGAAGTAACAAGCTGCCTCTTACTTTTCACGCACGATTTCATTTTTAAGTATTTTCTTCACTGCTGTTAAGACTTTCGTAGGTGAAATTCCTCCCCATGTGCCAAATATCTTATGGATTAAGTTAGATCTTTTCTAATTGATCATTTATCTCTAAGTTGAAATGATGATCCCTCTTGCTGTAGTTGTTATGGAAATATTTGCAAGCGTAACTATCTAAGGATACTAGAAATTGGTAGAAATGTCAAATAGCATGTTACATGTTTTCTTCTCTTTAACATGTTGTTATATTCGTAATAAGAAATCACCATCACAACGGAATGCAGATTTTATCCCTGAAGATGATCTTAGAAAAGGTCAAAAGTACTTGGGTTAAAAAATACTGCAGGATCTTCCTTGATGACTTTCATCTTAACGACAAAATACTGATTAAACAACTGGAAAAATCAGTATAAAAATAAGTAGAAACAATATGTCTATATTATTCAACAATATATCTATCTATCTATCTATCTATATATATATATATATATATATATATATATATATATATATATATATATATATATAGTGTGTGTGTGTGTAATTCCCCAAATATAATACGCCTTCATCCATAATACGCACCCCTAAAATTGTGCTGAAAGTGTGGGAAAATGCTTCTACTCACGCCTAATACGCCCCACTTCTTTTGTAATCACACCCGATAAATTGTATCTCTCCAATTTCGTTACTGCCTGCATTTAATACTTTTATTTAAAAAATGGTTTTAAACAGAATAATATTATTCTAATTTAGTTTTATGATTAATTCTCATTTTATTTTACATTTGTAAGTATTGTTATGTTCATATGATTGTATTTGACATCGTTATGTGGTCGCAATCGCCGAATGTTTGTGTCAAATTGTCGTATGTTTGAGTTGCTTAGTTATTTCGCAACTGAAATCGACCGATGAATCGGCAATTTTTTAAAGATGTTTTTGTAACTGTGCATAATACTCACCTCGAATTTTGCTTATTATTTTTTTAGAAAAAATGCGTATTATACATGGGGAATTACGGTATATATATATATTTATATATATTATGTTATTAATTTAAGAAGGCTCATAAATATTCATCAGGCTAATTGAAAAGTCTCGGTAAATTATGGAGGAGGCTAAGTAACGTAATTTAATGTGTAATAAACAAAAGTGAGGTTGCTCGAAAATCCAGGAAAGCTATGGAGGATGCGAAGTGACAAAATTCAATGTCTAATAAAGGAAAGTGAGTAAGAGATGTTCTTTTTTTAATGCGAATTAGTGAATTATAGATTCTGATTAATCTTTATATATTATTAATTATATAAGGTTATTAATTTAAACGTTTTGTTTTAACGTTTGATGGTCATTTTTGTTTGTTCAGGAAAATACTTATGTTTACAGGAATGTAAAGATTTGCACAAATTCAATGCCACTTTATATTTTCATAAAATTCGATAGCAGCACTTTTTCCTTTTAAGTAAGTTATTTTCTTTTTTTATTAAGATGCATATGAACAAAGTCAAATGAAAACATTCACACGCACGCACGCTCACTCTCTCTCTCTCACACACACACACACACACACATATATATATATATATATATATATATATATAAATCAACCTATCTCATCTATATAATATCAAAGTAATCACGAACACTTCCAAAACCATTATGGATATAATCAGATGCTAATACACCCATAGTAATAATATTTCTGAAGCAGGTATATATAGAATAAATTGCCAATACTGTTCCTCACAAAACATTGGAGAAACATGCAGAAATTTTTTAAAAAAACGCATCTATGAGCAAAAAGAGACTTCATAAATAAGAATTTAACAAATGAACTCGTCATACATAGAAATAAATCCAGCCACAATTTTGATTTTATAAATGCTGCACTCATAAAAAAGAAAATTGTTCACTCAAAAAGAAAATTTCTCGAGAGTTGCCATTGAATATTATCCAAATATTAATTTAAGGCCACGTTTTCTCCCAATCTCATCTTTTCTAACAGAATCACTCTCTCCCAAGATATCGTACATGCGAATATATCAAGAAATAAAAAAAATGGTTGAGACCAATAAAAGTATTCCTACACGAGAAAATATTCTCTAAAACATAAAGTAATTGACGTGATTTTTCAGTTGACCATATGAAAATACAGCAGCGTTTCTAAGTTCTTCTAGTAGCTAACGACATTTTGTTTGTTTTTTATAGATATTTTGTTTCAATAAATTCATTTCTGCCTTAAAAAAGTCCACACAGGATGAAACGCGTCGGGTAAAAGTAGTTTTCCTTTTGTGTTTGTTTTTATACGTATTGTCTTTTTCTACAGATTAATTCTGAGAGTTTTTGCACACACGCATATATATACACACACACACACACACACACACATATATATATATATATATATATATATATATATATAAAATTTTATCAGAATAATTCTGAAGACAATTTGGATAAAAAAATAAGACAACTGGAAAATATATTTCTTAGTCATTGCCGACGCGCTTCGTCAGCTCGACTTTATCAAGGCAAGTTTAAAAGCAAAATGTTTTTAGTTACATTAAATGCAATATATATATTTGTGTGTGTGTGTGTGTGTGTGTGTGTGTGTGTGTGTGTGTGTGTGTGTGTGTGTGTGAGGATAAGATTGGTGTAGACGGAATAAATTTCAATAACCAAAAGACACTATTCTTAAGACAGTGCTCAATACAAAGTCGAGCAAATATTATTTATTCAAAAATTATAACATAATCATGTCATAACATCACTACAAAAATAGCCATTTTGTTTCAAAACTTCTGGTGTCTTAGCAATTGATGGGGTTGAATTTAGATTCTACATTCAAAACTATCACTTGATAAGACACCAGATGTGTTGAAACAAAATCGCTATTTTTGTAATGATGTTATAACATGTTTATGTTATAATCTTGAATAAATAAAAATTATATATGTGTGTGTGTGTGTGTGTGTGTGTGTAGGGAGACAGATATATTGAAAAAGAGGCAGAATATGTACAAGAAAGAGCCAACGTCATAAAATAAACGAACCCAATGTAAAAAAAGAAAAAAGATACAAAATAAATTGCCATAAGTATAAGGATCATAATGAACTTTTAATTTCACCCTCGCTTCCGCTACTGACAGTTTCATTCAATTTTGCAGTTATCCAGCGATAATGATGGTCAATATAACATGTCTGAAACTTTCCATAAATATTTATATATATATATATATATATATATATGTCTGTGTGTATGTGTGTGTGTGTATGTGTGTGTACGTGTGTGTATGCGTGTGGAAAAGTGGAGAAAGATTTTAAACAAACTTTTCTCCACCCGTCTAAGCTATGAGGAAGTTTCTATTGTTGTCGCCGTTTAACATCGACATTTCTTATGAAAAAAAAAATGCTAATTTGGTTTGCAGCTGATATAGATTAGTGCTAATTTGAATTTCGTTATGGCCAGCCGAAATCCAAAAAGAACTCTGACGGTCGAAGCAATGACATCTTCAATAATTCCCCATCTTAATGGCGAAATACGTAAAGTGATCGCTTCTAATTTATTTTTGTCCAGCTCATCAAATGATTAACCGTAAACAACTCCAGGCGAAAATTGGCTGCTATTCGTCGATGTGTCGGCCATTGTTCAGTCAAGTTTCATTCGCGTTCGTTTTGTGAGGTTTAATTTTGTTTTATATTATGGAAGCTGTTTACGCTGGAAATATTTAAAGTAACCGAGCAATTAGCGACGAGAGGATTGGGGTTTCTCGCGAGATTTGTGTTTCCTATGATTGTCAGAATGGTAATATGAAAACAAAAAGAAAGTGAGGAGAAATTCTGGGGAAGAAAAGAAAATAGAATGTAAATGCTTGAGAATTATTTACGAGAGAAAGAAACGAGGAAAGCTAAAAATTAAAAAATGACGTGAGACAGTTTGAGAACGAGATAGGAGAAATGAAGAAAAGGCAGATGTTAGCAAAAGGCGAGAAAAAGAAGATAGAGAAGTGAAGAATATAAGAAAATGGATTAATAAAAATGATGATAAATGGAAAGTCATTGATAAAGAACATTTTAATATAGAGCGAGAGAAAGAAAGAAAAAAATAATGGAGAGACAAAAGGCGAGAAAATTGATAAGCGTGGGAGACATCAGAAAGTGAATGATAAATTGAGAAATGGAGAGAAAATTAGTTGAATAGCAATAATAAATTCTAACGACATACTGTAATAAAAATTATGTGATGGATAGAAGATTCGTTATTACCGTAGAGCTTATTAGACGCAATAAGAGATTAACAACAATAATTAATAAAATAAAACAATTCTAACAATAGACTGTAATAAAGTCATGTGACGGATAGAAGATTAATTCTTAGTGTAGAACTTATTAGGTACAATAAGAGAATAACAACAATAATCTCTATCTATAAAAGGCAGGATGTGTGTGTGTGTGTGTGTGTGTGTGTGTGTGTGTGTGTGTGTGTGTGTGTGTGTGTGTGTGTAACGAATGCACGGCCGCAATTTTCGATGGATTTGCACCAAAATTTACATGCACATGCTCCAAGTTAGCGGGAACGCCTACACCGACTTTTCATTTCCCAACTCCCATCGATAGTGAAAATAATCGATTTTTTCATGCTTCTACCGACGTTTTCATGTAGTTTGCGGCCATTTTCTACTGGCCACAGTGAGAGCCAATAGCTGGCTGCCACGAATAGGCAGGAAGATTCTATTGGCCAGCGTGAGAGCCAACAGCTGACTACACGAATGTTAACTAGCATGCTAGCATGCAAAAAAAATCAAGAGGTGCATTCGTCACAAGTGGGAAAAATTTAAATCTGCATGACACTTTACTCTAATTGGCTCATTCGCTTGCTTAAACTCAACGTTGATTCTGATTCCACAGAATTGGATTGGGTGTGAAAAAGTATTTGTTGTTAACATTCTTTTTTCATTCGGTTTTTTTCCAGTTACGAGTCCTTTTTTTAAAGCTGATCGTTTTGTGCTCATTTTGTTTAGTTCTTTTTTCGTAACAGATTTAATGTTTAGTATAGAGCTTGGAAAAAATCCGCAGTGTGAAATAGGCAAGAAGTAAGGCATGTAGCAACATCAGCACGGCAAAGGGCACTCCTTTAAAGGCAAGGAAGGGCAAAATATTTTAAGTCAAGTGATAGTGATTGCTGCTGTATGAGTCGTACGATTTTGAATCCAGCACGGTGGTTCCTATATATATATATATATATATATATATATATATATATATATATATATATTATGCTCGGTGCTTATTAGAAAGCGCTCAATATCAGAGATAGAGCTAACATATTTGGTAGGATAGATGTGAGTTTGTGACCCTGGGTTTCACGCTTTAGCGATCGTCAGAACAAACTCACATCTATCCAACCAAATATATATATACATAGTTGTGGACAGATTTTTCGCCGCACTGATTATTTGCATATTATCAAATGAAATGTGAATATTATTTACATTATTCGGCCTATTGTTGCCATATTTACTACTACGGTTAGGCCGTTGTACGCTCCGGCCTTCTTCAGGTGGTTAGAATGTCGAATTGAACCCTTTATTTCGCTCACTGGGCTAGACTGTTCTAGTTCCACGTGCCATATTTAATAGATGCCAGTTATCTCCTGTTAATTTCCCTCTGAAAGTTTTCCACTGCCTTAACCGGGTATTGAACTCACACTCTTTGTGTCCTGTCACTAGATCTAACTAACGCCTTTATCCACTGTGCCATGTGTCATGGGTTACAATTCCAGTGTAATAAATTATAACCATGGAATATATATATATATAGTTTTGGACAGATTTTTCCTCGAGGACACATGGCGTTAGTTAGATCCAGTGACAGGACCAAAGAGTGTGAGTTCAATTATATATACATTATGTTTGGTGTCGGTTTGGTTGCAGAAAAAGCCGGAATATTGTCAGTGTTGAAAGCTAACCGTCTTCGGAATTTCTGTTTGGATTTACAAAGGTTTTTCTATGTTTTGATATGGCTGCGAGGCAGCGAAGTTTTAAAATCAGGGCTTCTTTTCCCTAATTCTTTAGTAATTGACTATATATAAATGTTCTACTAGCATCCTGAAGTGAATGTATAAAAACGGACATAATATTGAAAAACTCTAATATAAATTTATCCAAAGCCCGGTTCTTGTTTGGTTGGGGGGGGTTCCAATTACGGCCTGCGGTCACATTTCATCCTCTGTCATAGAATGTACCATTTACAGCCCGACAGTATTGTGAATCAGAGTATGTAAACTAAACAATTAAGAAATATAATTTCATGTTTTACTAAAAAAAAATGGTAGAAACGCTGTGTGGACGCCCTCTGGCGGTGTGACCTTGGCTTTCTCCAGTCGAGTTCGAAAATCACTACCTTTGAACCAGACTCTTGCATTCCATATGTCAGTATCTCTTTTCACATTAGTGCGGGCAAGTTATTTGTTTTACCTATCTAAGATGAATAATCTTTAAAGTCTTAAATTAAATATTTTTGTGCTGATCAAAATCAGTTATAAATATATTTGGACACTTGGACTTGTTTTCTGCTTCTTAATAAGATGAACGTTGGTATTATGTTTCTATTCATATGTTTTTTAACTTAAAAGTTATCGGTATCTAGCCACCCACCACGAGAGTTGCATGTGGCACAAGGCCGAGTTTAACGTGGGTTTCCCGAGCCCGTAAGCTCGGCCAAAAAATGCCCATAGAACCCGTATAAACGGGATCAGGTTGGTCAACCTCCCCGAACGAGACTCTGCCCTTCGACGGACCCTCGTCCGTTTCCACTCTGCTCAGAGGCAGAGAGTTCGACCGTCAAGCCGAGCTTCTCGGCTTGATTCGGTATCTAGCCACCCCCCACGAGGGTTGCATGTGGCACAAGGCCGAGTTTAACGTGGGTTTTCCGAGCCCGTAGTCTCGGCTAAAAAAAATGCCCGTAGAACCCGTATAAACGGGATCGGGTTGGTCAACCTCCCCGAACGAGTCTCTGCCTTTTGGCGGACCCTCGTCCGGGTTCCTCTCTGCTCAGAGGCAGAGTAAGACCGTCAAGCCGAGAAGCTCGGAACAATTCAACATTAATTATCAATAACAAATAATTCTTAAAAATAACCTGAGATAGAGCTTCCTGGTAATTCTTTATTCTCAGATATATTTTACTTCATCTTCTTATATGTGCTTCAAATATGACACGCTAACTGATTTTGGTAAGACCTGTTTAAATTTATTTGTCATTTATATGGAGAAATGAAAATATGCCATTTGCAATAAAATTTTCATTAGTTCATTTGCCTTTAATTTTAATGGTTCAAGGAAGGCCAAGCAAATTGGTTGGCCCTCACGCAAATTGACATCATCAAATCTGACTCTCTTTGAAAAAAGTTCGGACATTCCTGCTCTAATATCTGTACGATCAGAAAGGTTTTCGAATCTTATAATCATCCTTCATAATATACTTATTAGATTTGCCATATTCCGAGACAAGTCTGCATCCAATGAAAATATGGAAAACAGGATAATGGAAAATAAACTGAGCCATTTAAGTTAATCTTGGAATAGATATGAAAGTTATATTCAAATGGGCAAATATGGCACAGCAGCGAGAAACAGCGAATATTGCTATTTCTGTAATTAAGTTTAAATCATGGATAATGAACAGAGAATTAAAAAAATTGAAAAGGGTATACGTCAGCTTTTTGGTGAGATGCGAGATGCCTAAACCAAATCAATGTAGATAGGACATTAAGAAATATATTTAAATTATGATCAGGGAAATCTGTAAAATACAAGCATATTCGTAATACGCTGAAATATGCATAAAAGTCTAAAAGAAATTTTCTAAATATTTAAAATTTCTGGATCTATGTACAGATGGACACCTCTTTAACAGATTATTCAACTGAGTAATTGATATAAAAGAAATAAAGTGTGTCTGCCGACACTTGAGTTTGAACATAGATCGCCAGTGAGCAAACACAGGCGATGCCATTATTGAATTAATTGGATAAGAGGAAGCATATAAGAAGTTCCATAGAGGAACTGTATACAATCGCGTGAGGTCTAATGGATCGTTATTTCTATTCTGTCCTCTATTACTGTATGGACCGCTATTCTCTACTCTATTCACTATACTATTTCTCTATTCGGATCACTATACATATTACTATTCGAGCGAATATTATTAAGAAAGTACTATTAATGTGAGTGTTATTCGAAGGCATCTGATACTAGTATTGTTCAACGGCGTTACTATGATTGTATCTTTGATTACAAAGACTCTACTACAACGAGCATTACGGAAGTGATAATGAGTATTCGTTGACATTACAAAAGTTTATAAACTCACAAAGACTCAAATTTCCCTCTGAAATGTACCTCTGAAAGGCCAGAGAACGCACTAGGTGAATCTTTAAGTAAATAAGTAGATCACGTGATGGTAAAGGAAATGTATATATGAGAATTAGCCTGGCGTCTAAATGATCGCTGTACGGATCATTATTCGGTGGTGACTATTCGAGCGAATATTATCGAGCAAGTACTATTAGTCCGAGTGTTATTCGAAGGCGTCTGACACCAGTATTGTTAAACGGCGTTACTATAGTTGTATCTGCGATTACAAAGTCTCTACTACAATGATCATTACGAAAGTGACAACGAATATTCTTTGATATTACGAAAGTGGCAACATCACAAAAGTAATGAGTTACATCCTCACTAACTGCCTCATAATTTTGATCTTGTACGAAAACTAAGCGAAGCATAGAAAATAAACCAGCAACTCTTCATTACGTAAAAGCGAGTTTTAATGAGAGCGCTTTGACATAATATCAATTAGCAGGATCCTCAGTTTTCATTATTAAATGAATTTATTTAAACCGCATATCAGTTATTAGAAACCCAAGTTTTAAATATTCAATTCAATTCAATTAAAACGCATGCTGTTATTTGCTATTTTTACCCTATTTTTAAAAAAAAAGTTTTAGATACCTCAAACAATAAAATGGAACACTGTATAAGTGTCTATTTTGTTCCTATTTTCTCAAAACCTTAGTCGTTGATTACATGTTCAGTCGGTGATATTCTCAGCATTCTTCTGTTACATCTCTTGCTTCAAGTCTCTTCTTCATCTGAGAAAATTGTCCCTCATCAACTGCCATATTGGAGAACTGATATGACGTAGAAATTCAGTGCGGTACTTCGATTTGGTGTGATGTTTAGCAGGCTTGTTCGCTAGATAGTGAATAGTGAGTTCTTTCCTGGGTGTCCCATAATATTTTCGGCCTTGAGTCAGGTCTAAGTTACACTTAAGAAATCAAAATAACAATTCAATACTCTATTTTTTTTTCTTTTTGTTTCTAGCGATTTTTTCTATCCTGTAATACGTTGCTTAGCGTTTGGAAATAGTAATTCGTTTTCCGAATCCACCTTCGACTTTCAGTGTCACACTTTCTGTTAAAACACTTCCCTGATATGTAGATTGTCATACTTGCTTTATTCTGGTATCCCCAATTTGTAATTTGCATATTGGGATGTCCCTTTTGCTAACAATCATGCATTTTTCTTCTTGCGATTTATGTTTAATCCTTTCTTCTCGCTTTCTTCACTACTTCTGTAGGAGTTCTTATAGTTCCTTTCTGTGTCTGCAATCAACACTGTGTCATCTGCATATCTTATGTTACTAAGACTGTGACCGCCCATCATGAATCCTGGTAGGACATCTAATTCTCTCAGAAAGGACATTTCATTCAATTCTTTCGTTTACATAATAAGCTAACCATTTTTCTAAGCGTGCCTGATAAACAGTAAAAAAAAACCTAACATTTTAAACCATTTTATTGCCAATTCCCTCTTTAAACTCACTTAAGTGTCTAATAGAAATAGAAACATTTATCAATTCTTTTTTGAATTTCTGTCTTTGACGTCCTACATTAGTGAGATTAAAGATAAAAAAAAAAGAATCTATTCTTCGAAATTAAAGTTTTCGATTTGCATTCGGCAGAAGTTTGGAACGCGACGAAAATATGTAAAACCATGTTTTCAAATTGGTTACATTATTCTCGTGTCTATTTTATCATTTTAGACATATGCAATATTCAGATTTCAAATACTGTCACAATAAGAAAAAAACAGGTATAAGAATACAAAGTTATAGGAAAACAGGATAAGAAAAGAAATTAATGGAGAAGACAATGAAAAAAGAAAAAAATTGAAAAAGAGCAGACGACATAATGGTTATTAAAAACAAAGAAAGAAATAAAGAAAAGGTTTTATTAATGAGCTTAGTTGTAAATGCAAATTCAGCATAAATATGTCTTACACTTAAATGGCTCGGTGACATCTGCGTCGATACACTCATATAAAATTCTGCATTCGTGAGTGTCGATGTTTGTATATGTATGTAAATTACTCGTGTCTAAAAAATTATTTCATGCTCATAGAATATAATATCAGCTCTCCTGCGGGGACTCCATTACTAAGAACATAGAGACAACCATAGAAATAGTGCAATATAGAATAGAGAGATACAGGGAAAGCTCTGAACAGGCTGAAATAGAGATAGATAGATAGATAGTAGATAGATAGATAGATAGATAGATAGATAGATCTGAACAGACTGCGATAGATAGATTTGGACACAATGAGATAGACCTGAACACACTGAGATAGATAGATAGATAGATAAGATAGATAGATAGATAGATAGATAGATAGATAGATAGATAGATCTGAACACACTTCGATAGATAGATTTGGATGAGATAGATAACACACTGAGATAGATATAGATAGATAGATATAGATAGATAGATATCTGAACACACTCAGATAGATAGATAGATATAGATAGATAGAAAAGATTAATAGATTCACTGGTTGCAAAAAAATTAAATTAAAAAATAAAATCAGTGATATATATGTATTAATATGGAACAGCGGTTTATAAATTATTGCTACCTCTTTCTTCTTTTATGTACCGCCTGCCTTCAGGGTATTGGCATTCATAGCTCTCCACAACTTCCAATCCTTTATATTTCTTAGAAATGTATTTTACTATAACTCCTCTCTCCTATTCTGTCACCCATTTAAACAAGGTTGTTTAGTAGCCTATGTCTGTTTCCATTTGTTCCTTTCACTCTATCTCCATCGAAGGCCCTCTTTCTTGAAACAAAAAAATTGAAAACAAAAAACTGAACTTTTACAGATTCGAAGTATAAGCGTTCGTTTTTAATCTACCTTAGAACGCACTTGTTTGTCACATGTTCCCTCCATAGTATCCGCATCATCCTTCTGTAGATCTACTTCTCCGTTGGCTCAACTGTCCTCTTCATCTGTGAAAAATTGACACGCTATACAGAGCCAATATTTTCTTTGTTTCTAACTAAACTTTTACATTACTTGATAGTACTTTTAGCTCTTAGAAGACATGTTTCACTTTTCCAATATCACATGACCTGTCATGTGTTAAAAAAAACTTATATATTTAAGGTTTTGTATTTGCTTTATTCTGTCATCTCTTACTCTCAACTTGGGTTGTTTCTCTTGATATCAAACATATACTCTTTTTTTACACCTGGAGGTTGGTCTTTTTTCCGGTTTCGCTTACTCAGTCAGTAATGTGCCATGTGTGATACATGCTTAGGCGATCATGTATCTTTCGATACATGACTGATGAGGCAGATTTCTCCTGTAGTAGCTTACCATTTCTTTCTGCAGTAGACCAGTTTCAATACAAGGCTATAGAAACCCGATCTGTCCTGCTATTTACCCGTACCTGGGGGGAGAAGAAGAGGATTTATACCTTTCCCAAGGGTATAAGCACCTAAGTGAATGTAATGGATTCGAGTGGAATTCGAACTCGGCTCTCCGAATAGATTGCATCGGAGTTCCTTCCGGTGTTTTTCTATGTCTTCCATCAGCACGATGTAATCTACACATTATAATGTTAAAATAGAGCCTACAAGATTGATTAAAGTTCTTTCAGTTTTTTCTGTTTTTTCATCAGCTCAGTTTAATCTGCATATCCTATGAGGTTAAGATAATGTGTACAAGATTGCCTAGTGTGATGGAGATATCTTCTAGTATCTCCATCACACTGGAATCTTTATATCCTTTGATGTTTGGATGGTGCTTACAAAATTTTCTAGAATTTCATTCGGTGTTTTTTGTGTGTGTGTCTTTCGTCAGCACGCTGTATATCCGCTTAAGTTAATATGCTTCCTATCATATCGCCTTGAGATTCATTCGGTGTACTATGCATATCATATGATATAATATAGTGTCTATCTGCGGTTCCTTCGGTTTTTCTTTGTCTTCGATCAGCAAGGTTTAATCTAACTGTACATTGATGGTAAGTTGACACCCAGAAACTGCTTCGGGTTTTGCTTCTAAGTCCTCCATTACTACGGTGTTACCTGCTTATCCTATCATATTAAAACGGTTTCTACTAGATTGCCGACAAGTGTCTTTGATTTCTCTCTATGTCTTCAATCAGGACATCTCATTGATATTAAGATGGTGTCTACAAGGTGGCCTAGAAGATCATTCAGTTCTTTCTGTGTCTTTTTTTTTTAATCATTTCACCTCAAGGATGGCGGGAATGTCACTAGGACTCCGAGGATTACAGAAAGTGAAACTATGAGAAAAGAATGGGGTATAGAGCGACTGGGAAAAGGAAAAGAACTGAACAAGGTTCGGGAATATAGATGATGGTGATTGACGTTACATTTAAATTTTTGGAGATTGTAGTTATCATGAAAGTAAGGAAACGAAGCGAATTCCACAGGTGAGAAGTGCGAGATAATTAACTGTTGTAGTAGAAGTGGGTGTTACATTTAACTAATTCAACAGTAAAAAAGAGGAATCTAGATATCAATCTAGTAGCACGCTTAAACACACATAGTCGGGGCACTAAGAGAAAAGCTCAACATAGCAGTAGCCATGAAAACATTTGTACAAAAAACAGAGGGAAATCAGGTCACGTCGGTGAGACAGGATTAATTTCACTGCATATCCTTCTTTGGACTTTTTCAAGAACCTCCATATGAGTAGCAAGGACACCTGACCAGATATGGCAACAATATTCAATGCAAGAACGAACAGTAGATTTGTAAATGCGCAAAATGAACTTCGAGGAGAAAAACCTTCTGGTACGACAAAGTGACCCAACATTTCTTGCAGTAGCTGCAGCTATTGATTTGATGTAGGCGTTCCACTTCAAGTCAGTTGAAAAAGTGAGGCAAAGAAGGCGCAATGTGTTGCTCTCCTTGAATTTAGCTTCAGCCATGCTGATGGTGGGCAGAAAAGTTTCTCGATGGCGGTTAAATGAGAGTAGTTTCGCTTTGGAGGCATTAAAATTTATGAGCCATTTCCTGTCCCACTTAACCACTGATTGGTGGTCCTTTTCAAGAGCTGCATCTAGATTAACATTGTCACCTCTGGTGGATTTTCTCTTCAGACAGTAAATGGTAGTGTCATCAGCATGAATACCTACAGACATTGGGCAGATCACTGATCAGAAACAGCGTAGTAAGGAGGAAAGTGTCGGGTGAAAGGAAGCGAAGCCGTTCAAAACGAGGTTCATTTCACGATTTGATTGGAACGATTGGATCAGAACGGTTTTATCTGCATATCTGATGATGTTAACGCTTAGATTTTAATATTCCAGATCCTTCTTTATTTTTCTGTATTGCATGTTTCGTTCATTCGTCGAGAATTTTTTTCAATTAAGAACGTCCCCTCTTTTGATTTTATACAATCCTACATTCTTTCTTTCTCGTTGAGCAATTTATCTTTTGCTTACATGCATTTTTTCTAATGATTGTGTTTAATATTCTATATTCTGTGTCAGTCACTGGAATTGCTTGCTGTCTTTTTTTTCTTTATTCTGAGATTTTCATCCCTCAACCATTTTCTTTTTCTTGTCTCTCTTTCCTAACGTTGATTTCATTCTCCGTTTTTATACTCTATTTCAAATATCCCTTTTATCCCCCTTTTATGTTATTATATTTGCTTTTAACTCTCTCAACATAAATCTCTTTACAAGTTGTTTCTTTCTGGATTCTGACGTGTTGTCGTTTAGACTTTCTTTAAATTCTATAATTTTAGCCTGAGTTTGCATATGATTTTGAAGTCGTCGTTCCTGTGACAAGTTCTGCTATCCTCACTAGCAGCAGCGGCCGCAGGAAGAACGACAATCAGCAATTACTTCCGACCAACGCCGGCTTTATTACATTTGATGTACAACGCAGAGCGCTCGGAGGTTATTAAATAAATAATATATCAAATAAATGCCAAAGCGTTTCTTAATTTATTACATACATACTTAGAATATAGTGGAAAAGGGGTGTATAAAATACCTCATGCACATGATAAACAGAATAATATAGACACTAACTTCTGGATTTTACGGATAATTAATTAAATAATGCTACTTCCGGTCAACCCGTATTGCATAGTCATAGAGACAAACATGGTGGCCCCAGGTAACCTCGACAACGCGTGGATTAACTAGGACGATTGTAAATTAACGAAACCTCGTTGCCAATTTAATAGTGGGCTTAAATTCATAAAGTCTTAGTACCATATAGGAAAGTTCATCAGAACAATTACCATGAAAGTTTTAATAGAAAACACACAAGGAAGCTACGTTACATAGGTGGGAAAGGGACTGCAGCCGAGATGCCAGGTGAGGACCAATAACATTACAGATTCTTCTTTTAAGTTTATCAAGAGTCCCTAAATTTATAGCAGGAGCACTGGTACCAGATGTGGCAGTATTATTCTAAGCAAAGACGAATAGTAGTTTAAATAAATATGTAAGTATTGTGAGGCCGGAAACTACCTACAAATTAGACTCTTCCAGGCCTATATTAAGGCAATAAAAGTGGGCATACTTTAACTTCGTGCTGGTACGCCAACAGAACGAGAAAACCCCAAAATAAAATTAGGCAAGCTCAATCTGACAATATTGTTGATAGGAATTTAAGGAAATATGTAACTGTGGATATTTTCAATAATTCTATTAAATTCCAGCTTGACTCGGGTTCCGATCTTTCAACCATTAACTGGCGTACTTGGCGAAAATTAAACAAGCCGACCTTACTAAAAACGGATAAAACAGCAAAATCCGTAACTGGCGAAAAAAATAACATTTTAGGCGAGGTAATACTTACAGTAACACTAAATGGAGTTACCAAAAAGCTCAAAGCCTACGTATTGAAAACTTCAGATAACTTATTTGGAACAGATTGAATAGAAAAATTCAATCTTTGGGATTGCCCAATTAGTACATTTTGTCGCAAGATACAAAGTACAACGTCCAATTTGGTAAATCTCAAAAAGAAACTCAAACAACAATTTCCCAGGTTTTTTTTCTGGCGGCCTTGGGAAATGTACTAAAATGAAAGCTAAGTTCAAGGTGAAGGACGGTGCACAACCGGTATTCAAAAAGAAACGGAATGTCCCTTTCGCTGCTCTAGAGCAAATCAACAAAGAGTTAGATAGACTCGAACAAGCAGGTATTCTGTCAAAAACAGATTTCAGCGAGTGGGCAGCACCTACGGTCTACGTAAAAAGAAGTCCTATCAAATACGAGTATGCGCAGATTTTTCCACAGGGTTAAACGATGCCTTGCAAGATCACCACTATCCTCTCCCAAGCCTTGAAGAAATTTTCAATAAACTCAATGGTGGAAAAATGTTTTTCTAAAATCGACCTCTCGGACGCATACCTTCAGATAGAGGTGGAAGAAGAAAGTTTCAAATTGCTCTGCATAAACACCCATAGAGGGTTGTACAAATACAACAGGCTGACTTTTGGAGTAAAGGTTGCGCCTGAAATTTTCCAGCAGGTCATGGACGCCATGCTGGGC